TCAGGCAAGTTTCTCCTCAATATTACCAATATTCTTCTTAAGCACTGGCCCACCTGGGAGGCCTCTTGTGGAGCTGGTGGTGCAAGAGGGAGCTTGTGGAGGCCTCTTGTGGAGCTGGTGGTGCAAGAGGGAGCTTGTGGAGGCCTCTTGTGGAGCTGGTGGTGCAAGAGGGAGCTTGTGGAGGCCTCTTGTGGAGCTGGTGGTGCAAGAGCAAGCTTGTGGGGGGCCTCTTGTGGAGCTGGTGGTGCAAGAGCAAGCTTGTGGAGGCCTCTTGTGGAGCTGGTGGTGCAAGAGGAAGCTTGTGGAGGCCTCTTGTGGAGCTGGTGTAGCAAGAGGAAGCTTGTGGGGGGCCTCTTGTGGAGCTGGTGTAGCAAGAGGAAGCTTGCGGAGGCCTCTTGTGGAGCTGGTGTAGCAAGAGGAAGCTTGTGGAGGCCCTCTTGTGGAGCTGGTGTAGCAAGAGGAAGCTTGTGGAGGCCTCTTGTGGAGCTGGTGGTGCAAGAGGAAGCTTGTGGAGGCCTCTTGTGGAGCTGGTGGTGCAAGAGGAAGTTTGTGGAGGCCTCTTGTGGAGCTGGTGGTGCAAGAGGAAGCTTGTGGAGGCCTCTTGTGGAGCTGGTGGTGCAAGAGGAAGCTTGTGGGGGGCCTCTTGTGGAGCTGGTGTAGCAAGAGGAAGCTTGTGGAGGCCTCTTGTGGAGCTGGTGGTGCAAGAGGAAGCTTGTGGAGGCCTCTTGTGGAGCTGGTGGTGCAAGAGGAAGCTTGTGGAGGCCTCTTGTGGAGCTGGTGGTGCAAGAGGAAGCTTGTAGAGCCCTCTTGTGGAGCTGGTGGTGCAAGAGGAAGCTTGTGGAGGCCCTCTTGTGGAGCTGGTGGTGCAAGAGGAAGCTTGTAGAGGCCTCTTGTGGAGCTGGTGGTGCAAGAGGAAGCTTGTAGAGGCCTCTTGTGGAGCTGGTGGTGCAAGAGGAAGCTTGTGGTGGCCTCTTGTGGAGCTGGTGGTGCAAGAGGAAGCTTGTAGAGCCCTCGTGTGGAGCTGGTGGTGCAAGAGGAAGCTTGTGGTGGCCTCTTGTGGAGCTGGTGGTGCAAGAGGAAGCTTGTGGTGGCCTCTTGTGGAGCTGGTGGTGCAAGAGGAAGCTTGTGGTGGCCTCTTGTGGAGCTGGTGGTGCAAGAGGAAGTTTGTGGAGGCCTCTTGTGGAGCTGGTGGTGCAAGAGGAAGCTTGTAGAGCCCTCTTGTGGAGCTGGTGGTGCAAGAGGAAGCTTGTGGTGGCCTCTTGTGGAGCTGGTGGTGCAAGAGGAAGTTTGTGGAGGCCTCTTGTGGAGCTGGTGGTGCAAGAGGAAGCTTGTAGAGGCCTCTTGTAGAGCTGGTGTATCAAGAGGAAGCTTGTGGAGGCCTCTTGTGGAGCTGGTGGTGCAAGAGGAAGTTTGTGGAGGCCTCTTGTGGAGCTGGTGGTGCAAGAGGAAGTTTGTGGAGGCCTCTTGTGGAGCTGGTGGTGCAAGAGGAAGTTTGTGGAGGCCTCTTGTAGAGCTGGTGTAACAAGGTGACCAGCACCACCACAGCATAACCACCACCTCTGAAGATGCTCCCACACGACCACAAGAGTGTGGGCGACAACACCTCCTCCAAGCACCACTTCGCTCCACGTGGGGGGAAAAAGACCGTCATTAACGACTGTACCAGCGAGTAATTACTGCTGGATTGGTTATGGAGGCGCGGCTGGAACTACCTCCCATTGTTGCCTGAAACTTCCACAGGCAACCCATTGCAAGGGTGATTGTGGAACCTGGATTACCTCAACAACTTTACAGTAGATTGATATATATATAATATATATTATATGCAGTTAATGGGTCAACAAATATAGGGATATATTATATAGCTGTGAGCGTGGCCTGGCCGAGCGAGTCCGGGATAATTATAGTGATATTAAACCATTATAAGTAATGGTGGCATTAGTCTCTCTCTCTACAGCTACGGGTATTGTGTATATTATCAGTGTGGTATGATGTGGTCGCCCCTGTTAGTGATATTGGTGGGTGATCTGTATAGGGTGTGGCTGGGGCAGGGTGTGGTTGGGCATGATTTAGCCACACTTCAATACTATAACCTTCCAGTCACACCCCCAGAACAGTGGTTATAATCACATATTGCTCTACACTGGATAACTATATTGCTAGATATTATGGTTGTTTGGCAACCACCACCCACAACCACCACCAACCAGAACCCACTACCACCCACAACCACCACCAACCAGAACCCACTACCACCCACAACCACCACCAACCAGAACCCACTACCACCCACAACCACCACCAACCAGCACCCACTACCACCCACATCCACCACCAACCAGAACCCACTACCACCCACAACCACCACCAACCACCACCCACTACCACCCACATCCACCACCAACCACCACCCACTACCACCCACAACCACCACCAACCAGCACCCACTACCACCCACAACCACCACCAACCAGCACCCACTACCACCCACAACCACCACCAACCAGCACCCACTACCACCCACAACCACCACCAACCAGCACCCACTACCACCCACAACCACCACCAACCAGCACCCACTACCACCCACAACCACCACCAACCAGCACCCACTACCACCCACAACCACCACCAACGAGCACCCACTACCACAAAATTCTCAGGGGAATTGACAGGGTGGACAAAGACAAACTCTTCAGCACAGGTGGAACGCGAACAAGGGGACACAGGTGGAAACTGAGTACCCAGATGACCCACAGAGACATTAGAAAGATTTTTGTCAGTATCAGAGTAGCTAACAACTCATTAGGCAGTGATGTGGTGGAGGCTGACTCCATACACAGTTTCAAATGTTGATATGATAGAGCCCAGTAGGCTCAGGAATCTGTACACCAGTTGATTGACGGTTGAGAGGCGGGACCAAAGAGCCAGAGCTCAACCCCCCCCCCACAAGCCAGTAACCATGGACGTGGGGCTCAACTCTACACTAATGATATTATATTTTACTAATATGTTATATATTTTATATTTTTACTCATAATATTTTACTCACTGGCTCTGATTAATGGCACTGTTGCTGCCAGTGGTTGGCACTGTTGCTGCCAGTGGTTGGCACTGTTGCTGCCAGTGGTTGGCACTGTTGCTGCCAGTGGTTGGCACTGTTGCTGCCAGTGGTTGGCACTGTTGCTGCCAGTGGTTGGCACTGTTGCTGCCAGTGGTTGGCACTGTTGCTGCCAGTGGTTGGCACTGTTGCTGCCAGTGGTTGGCACTGTTGCTGCCAGGGGTGGTGATTGGCACTGTTGCTGCCAGTGGTTGGCACTGTTGCTGCCAGTGGTTGGCACTGTTGCTGCCAGTGGTTGGCACTGTTGCTGCCAGTGGTTGGCACTGTTGCTGCCAGTGGTTGGCACTGTTGCTGCCAGTGGTTGGCACTGTTGCTGCCAGTGGTTGGCACTGTTGCTGCCAGTGGTTGGCACTGTTGCTGCCAGTGGTTGGCACTGTTGCTGCCAGGGGTGGTGATTGGCACTGTTGCTGCCAGTGGTTGGCACTGTTGCTGCCAGGGGTGGTGATTGGCACTGTTGCTGCCAGTGGTTGGCACTGTTGCTGCCAGTAGTTGGCACTGTTGCTGCCAGTGGTTGGCACTGTTGCTGCCAGGGGTGGTGATTGGCACTGTACACAAGTCCTGGCGTCATTACCGCTAATCTTGATAAGCTAATCAGACAATAAAGTTAATGTTTACAACGTGACTTTAGAGCACAGGAGGAGAGAACACTGCAGAGGCGACGCAGCTCCCATGATCACCCAAACACTCATTCACACACACACACACGTCTGTCCTACTCTTGAAACAATCAAACTATCCTTCGTCTCTGGTGGTTCCTGGTCATTTGTTCCAATAATACGCATATATATATATATATATATATATATATATATATATATATATATATATATATATATATATATATATATAATTTTTAGGGGTACCACCACTGGTTTAATTAAAGGGACCCACATCCTCGAAGAAGAAAATAAATAGTGTTCAGAGAAGACCTTGTGGATTCTCACTGAATACTTTAGTCTTTTCCTCTCCTACCACCCCTATTATTTTTTTTTTTTTATTTGATTTTATTGCAATGCTACAGTTTACAGAAAACACACACTTATACAACAATATAACAATCAGTGTTCGAAGACCTCGTCCAGCTCCTCGGGGGCCGGGTGCGTACCCAAGATACAGCACGCATTTCCCCTCTGAACAGCGACACTGAGGCGCTGGAACATAAAACTGGCCGCTCTTGGGTCTCTAGTCTTCCCAATGAGTTCCTCGCCCAGCTCCTTCAGGAACTTAAGTGCACATTTACCCCAGGTTCCCAGAGTCTCAGAGCCTATTGGCACGAACCTGTAACAACGTTGTAGGTCCCTGTACTTGTTAGTTTTCTGGGTCTCCCTGAAGGTGGCCGCCCCGCCTCCCTCAGCTGCGCTGTAAGGTAGATAGGTATCAGCCAATGTAGACGCACACGTGTAGTCCCACACGACCTGTTTACCTTCCCTCCACGGCTGCAGGGTGACTCCATCTGGGCGTTTTTGGCTGTTGTCAGGTCTGCACAACTGCAGTTCCCTTTGTGCTGGGCATCCAGCTGAAGCCAAACTTCTCTTGATGATGTCATTGACTGCTTCATGTCTGGCAATCTTTCCCTGTGTCTTACGACAGATGAGACCATGGCTGCCGTATTGGTCTGCCCGTGCATGGCCGCAATTACACCGGTGCTCGGTGGAGATAGGGGCGGCAAGGCGCAGAGCAACACCAATACTTAGGGTCCGATGGTCGAGGCGGGTGCCCAAGGCGGAATTAGGGACTGCCAACAGGAAGTCCCCGGCATGGGGCGCTTGCACAGCTAGAAGACGCGCTTTGTCCTTCCTGGAAGCTGCCTCAAGCAATGATGTGGCGATGTTCTCCACTATAGGGCTATCCCATTTGGACTGTTTGCAGTCATTTGGAAAAGTCGGTCGAGGATGAGAGTTGACAAGAGTGTCCCACTGACCGGCTCCTTCCGCGAATTTGGGATCATGAATCCCAATGAAGTCTCTTAGGTGTTCCGGTAGTATTTCCTTAACTAATTCACCTGTTGCACTGGTCGAAGATAAGAATGCCGGCAATGCTGTGTCGCCTTGCGAATACCTATACCCCGAGTCTAACTGGGAGCGTTGCTTGGTCCCATTGGTCATCTTGCAGGGAGAGGTTTAACACTTTCACGGTTATTGACATTAGAAGTGAGTCATATTCTGTTAATTTTGGGCTGTCGAAGGCGGGAGCACACCTTAGGAAATAGGTCAGTCTGGGCAAAGCCAGGCACCTTGTGAGAAGGTACAAAGCATCGTGGGCGTCCAAAGCCCCTATTCTTCCCTCCATCCTCCTCAGGTCGTTCAGCTTTTCTTCGAGGACTACCTCAATGGCGCTCGAGCCCAGAGGTGCCCCTAGCAGCACACTGTCGGTGGGAGCGATCACTTGGGCTCCTGGCAATATGGTTCGCACTGCATCTATGGTTGGTTGGCTAGATGAGATGATTTCACACTTTAATGGGTTTAGGGTGAGTCCTAACTCCTCTCCCTTAGATTTCACCAGCTGTAGATCTTCTAGCAGGGACTCCTGTGTCCCTGCCAGGGTGCCATCGTCCAGGAACCAGATGTTGAGTTCGCTGGTCAACCTGCTTGTGACCTCTTTAACAGCCATGCAAAAAGAAAAGGGGCAAGTGGGTCTCCCTGCTGGACACCTTCTGCAGAAACAACTTCATGTTCCCCAAACAGCAGCGTCGATTCCCTACTGTACCCTGCTGAGACGAAGGGGAGTAGAGAAGGAAAGCTTGTTCGAACTGCTTCCAGTACCACATCCCTTTTTACCTGGTTGAAAGCATTTTTAAAGTATATAATATATATATATATATATATATATATATATATATATATATATATATATATATATATATATATATATATATATATTCCTTTGTTCACTTACCATCATGTCCGAGTTATTAATTAATTTATATTTCTCTTTCCAGATGATGAGCGCTCACCTTGGGGCTGCCTGAAGCCACCTTGGGGGCTGCCTGAAGCCACCTTGGGGGCTGCCTGAAGCCACCTTGGGGGCTGCCTGAAGCCACCTTGGGGGCTGCCTGAAGCCACCTTGGGGGCTGCCTGAAGCCACCTTGGATCTGCCTGAAGCCACCTTGGGGCCGCCTGAAGCCACCTTGGGGCCGCCTGAAGCCACCTTGGGGCCGCCTGAAGCCAACTTGGGGCCGCCTGAAGCCACCTTGGGGCTGCCTGAAGCCACCTTGGGGCCGCCTGAAGCCACCTTGCTCTTGACTGCTGATCCTCCCTTCAATTATACGTGAGGACGTTTAAAGTATTATTGATCTCTATGGCTATTTGTGTTGGCAGTGTGCATGCACATCCATCCACACTTCAATATGCATGTCGTGAGTCATTTAATTTAACTATACACACAGCGGTCGGGGGGGAGGAGGGGAGGGGTCGTAGTCCTAAGGGCCCGGATTCCATTCCCGGCCGAGGCAGAGAAAATATGGACAGGTTCTTTCACATGATGCCTCTGTTTACCTGGCAGTAAAAAGGTACCTGGGAGTTAGACAACTGCAACGGACTCCTGGGGAATGTATGCGTGTGTTAGAGAGAAATATATGTTGTAGATATGTTAGGAAAAGAGGTCAGGAGTCAGAAAATTAGACAATTTAAGGTGAGGAAGGCGGGGCCCAAGAGCTAGCAGCTCGACCCTGCAGGCACAAATAGTAAATACATACAAACACACACAAGCGTATTAGAGTTCTACGTCATGCTGATAAACAGGAGAGACGACTAGACAGTCTGCGTTTTCCTGGGATGCCAGAAAGTTGTTGACTGTGTTACCAAACCTCTAGAGTGGGTGAAGGAGTGTGAGGAAGAAGGTAGAGTCATAGTAAGAGGAGAGAGGGATCAGTGTGGCGAGAGGTAAGAGGTGGAGTGCCTGGAGGGGCGGTGCTAGGGCCCATCCTGTTCCTAATACACCTACGGATCTAACAACCTATCCTGATCGGGTCCGATCCGGGCAGGTCCGATCTAACGGACCTGCCCGAAACGCTGCGCGTACTAGTGGCTTTACAAGATCGTAAATACTATGCTATGTATTCTCACAAACCCCATGTACCTTCTTGTATATACATAAATAAATAAATAAATAAAGAAAGAAAATTAGCTCACTCTTGTCAATATTTGCTGACGATGTTAATGATTCACCTAATACATTCACCTAATAAGGTGAATCACCTAATAAGATTGAATCGCCTAATAAGAATCGCCTAATCACCTAAGAATCACCTAATCACCTAAGAATTAGAATCACCTAATCACCTAAGAATCACCTAATAAGATGATTCACCTAATAAGGTGAATCGGAACAAAGGAGGATTGTACTACATTACAAGATCAATTAGATAATATCCAGAACTAGGCTGAGAAATGGTTACTAGACTTTAATGATAACAAATGCAAAGGTATGAGGTTAAGAACTAGAGCAAGACGACCTCAAGGTGGCTAGCGCTCAACTTGTGAAAGAGAGACTTAGTAGTGGACATAACTGGAGCTCTAGCAGGCTCGATTAAATTAAAGCGGCGTCTGGGATGCTCTCGGACGCAGGTTCGAATCCTCGACACGGCCCTTGTGGATTTGTCCATTGGAGCTCTGACGCCAGACACACATCGGCAGGATAACGACCGCTGTATACGCCATACTGGCAAACGTTCGGTTATCCTTTCTGAACTTTGACAAAGTTCCCTTCCGAACGTTGTATACGACCTTTGCTAGACGCGTCACTGAGTATACTGCTACACCATGGAATCCCTATCTTGATATTATCTTGATATTATCTTGATATTATCTTGAGATTATCTTGAGATTATCTTGAGATTATCTTGAGATTATCTTGAGATTATCTTGAGATTATCTTGATGATTTCGGGGCTTTTTAGTGTCCCCGCGGCCCGGTCCTTGACCAGGCCTCCACCCCCAGGAAGCAACCCGTGACAGCTGACTAACACCCAGGTACCTATTTTACTACTAGGTAAACAAACCCTACCTAAACAAGCACAAATAAAACTTGAAAAGATCCAAAAATATGCAGCAAAAGAAAGACTGTTGGGAACTGAAACCTCACTACAGCTGGGGAAATAATGAGTAGGGCAGACATGATAACGACGTACAAGATACTAAGAGGGGGGGGGTATTGACAAAAGTATATATAGGAGCATTGTTTCAAGTTAAGGAACAGTAGAATAAGATGACAATTTAAAACTGGAAACATAAATGAGTCAGAGGGATGTTAGGAAGAACTTCTTCAGTTTAAGAGTCGTAACTTCTTCAGTTTAAGAGTCGTAACTTCTTCAGTTTAAGAGTCGTAACTTCTTCAGTTTAAGAGTCGTAAATAAGTGGAGCGGACTAGATGAGGAAGTTGTCGAAGACAATTCGATTCACAACTTACAATGTAATTATAATAAAAATAAGTGAAAATAAGTCACTGACTTTAATTAATGGTGCCCAAAAGGATGGGCTTAAGAGCAGATGATTGACCTTGTAAGCACTAGTTGATTACACACACAAACACACACACACACACACACGCACACACACACACACACACACACACACACACACACACACACACACACACACACACACACTGGAAGACAGAAGAGTAAGGGGAGACATGATCACAACCTACAAAATCCTCAGAGGAATCGACCGGGTAAACAAGGATAAACTATTCAACACTGGTGGGACGCGAACAAGGGGACACAGGTGGAAACTGAGTACTCACATGAGCCACAGAGACGTTAGAAGGAACTTTTTTAGTGTCAGAGTAGTTAACGGATGGAATGCATTAGGCAGTGATGTGGTGGAGGCTGACTCCATACACAGTTTCAAATGTAGATATGATAGAGCCCAGTAGGCTCAGGAACCTATATACCTGTTGATTGACAGTTGAGAGGCGGGACCAAAGAGCCAAAGCTCAACCCCCGCAAGCACAAATAGGTGAGTACAAATAGGTGAGTACACAACACAGCCAGCCAGACCCTTGTGAACTCCACCACAGTTGAACACAGCCGTTCATGAGCCAAGAGACGCCACCCTGGCCTCTCACCATCACCCTAAGCCTCTCACCACCACCCTAAGCCTCTCACCACCACCCTAAGCCTCTCACCACCACCCTAAGCCTCTCACCACCACCCTAAGCCTCTTACCATCACCCTAAGCCTCTCACCACCACCCTAAGCCTCTCACCACCACCCTAAGCCTCTCACCATCACCCTAAGCCTCTCACCATCACCCTGGCCTCTCACCACCACCCTAAGCCTCTCACCACCACCCTAAGCCTCTCACCACCACCCTAAGCCTCTCACCACCACCCTAAGCCTCTCACCACCACCCTAAGCCTCTCACCACCACCCTAAGCCTCTCACCACCACCCTAAGCCTCTCACCACCACCCTAAGCCTCTCACCACCACCCTAAGCCTCTCACCACCACCCTAAGCCTCTCACCATCACCCTAAGCCTCTCACCACCACCCTAAGCCTCTCACCACCACCCTAAGCCTCTCACCACCACCCTAAGCCTCTCACCACCACCCTAAGCCTCTCACCATCACCCTAAGCCTCTCACCACCACCCTAAGCCTCTCACCATCACCCTAAGCCTCTCACCACCACCCTGGCCTCTCACCACCACCCTAAGCCTCTCACCACCACCCTAAGCCGCTCACCACCACCCTAAGCCTCTCACCACCACCCTAAGCCTCTCACCACCACCCTAAGCCTCTCACCACCACCCTAAGCCTCTCACCACCACACTAAGCCTCTCACCACCACCCTGGCCTCTCACCACCACCCTAAGCCTCTCACCACCACCCTAAACCTCTCACCACCACCCTAAGCCTCTCACCACCACCCTAAACCTCTCACCATCACCCTAAACCTCTCACCATCACCCTAAACCTCTCACCATCACCCTAAGCCTCTCACCACCACCCTAAGCCTCTCACCACCACCCTAAGCCTCTCACCATCACCCTGGCCTCTCACCACCACCCTGGCCTCTCACCACCACCCTAAACCTCTCACCATCACCCTAAGCCTCTCACCATCACCCTAAGCCTCTCACCACCACCCTAAGCCTCTCACCATCACCCTAAGCCTCTCACCATCACCCTAAGCCTCTCACCACCACCCTATGCCTCTCACCATCACCCTGGCGGCCTCTCACCATCACCCTGGCCGCCTCTCACTATCACCCTAAGCCTCTCACCATCACCCTAAGCCTCTCACCATCACCCTAAGCCTCTCACCATCACCCTAAGCCTCTCACCATCACCCTAAGCCTCTCACCATCACCCTAAGCCTCTCACCACCACCCTAAGCCTCTCACCATCACCCTAAGCCTCTCACCACCACCCTAAGCCTCTCACCACCACCCTAAGCCTCTCACCATCACCCTAAGCCTCTCACCATCACCCTGGCCTCTCACCACCACCCTAAGCCTCTCACCTCCACCCTACGCCTCTCACCATCACCCTAAGCCTCTCACCATCACCCTAAGCCTCTCACCATCACCCTAAGCCTCTCACCACCACCCTCGCCTCTCACCACCACCCTAAGCCTCTCACCACCACCCTAAGCCTCTCACCATCACCCTAAGCCTCTCACCATCACCCTGGCCTCTCACCACCACCCTAAGCCTCTCACCACCCTACGCCTCTCACCATCACCCTACCTCTCAAGCCTCTCACCATCACCCTAAGCCTCTCACCATCACCCTAAGCCTCTCACCACCACCCTAAGCCTCTCACCATCACCCTAAGCCTCTCACCATCACCCTAAGCCTCTCACCACCACCCTAAGCCTCTCACCACCACCCTAAGCCTCTCACCATCACCCTAAGCCTCTCACCACCACCCTAAGCCTCTCACCATCACCCTAAGCCTCTCACCATCACCCTAAGCCTCTCACCTTCACCCTAAGCCTCTCACTATCACCACCCGGAGTCTCAACACCATACATATCCTCACCATAATCGCGGAAGTCACCATCAACTTTCAATTGGGGTGATGGGACGAGAAATTGGATTTTGCTGTATATTAATCTCGACGACACAATGTTGCCAAGATGCGTTTCCTTGGCGCCTTAACTTGCTAAGTAGTGCCCAACTGGTGCCGCAAGTTGGCTAACTTGTGGCACTTAACCCAGACGGAGGTGGATGTGGAGGGATAATATTTGCATTTATTTAGTATTGGTACTGTTAGTCTATTTATATGTGTAGTGTTTGGTGGGAGTATTGGCCCGTGTTACTCCAGCCTGGCTACCACCACTCATGTCTTGTCCAACTGTCACCACCACCACCACTATTGTGCCGCCACCACCACTATTGTGCCGCCACCACCACTATTGTGACGCCACCACCACTATTGTGACGCCACCACCACTATTGTGCCGCAACCCGTTCTCGCAAATTTAATAAGTCAATATTGACTTATTAAATATGTGCATAGGTGACATACTTAACATAATAGATACCCTTAAAAAGATTCATAGAAAACACCGACCTTACCTAACCTTGTTAGTATCTTAAGATAAGCATCTTATTGCTTCGTAATTACAATTATTACTTAACCTATAATAGGTATAGGTTAAGTAATAATTGTAATTACGAAGCAATAAGATGCTTATCTTAAGATACTAACAAGGTTAGGTAAGGTCGGTGTTTTCTATGAATCTTTTTAAGGGTATCTATTATGTTTAGTATATCACCTATGCACGTAGTTAATATGTCAATATTGACTTTACGAATTTGCGAGTGCCGCCACCACCACTACTGTGAAGCCATCGGGAGGAGAACACGGCCAAACTGCACGTCCCACACCGTAGAAGATAATAAAGTACCATTAAGTTATGGTACGACATACCACTGTGTTCAACAGCAAACTTGATGATGACCACAGAATACCTGATCAACTGTTCTGTGATTCATACGTAAGACTGCGAGCAGCAGTGTCTAACAGCCTGGTTAACCAGACCACCAAGAATGTATATACATTCAAGCACAAATACAATATTCCTTGGCAGGCCTTCATGCTAGGCTATGTGAGTATGACTTACAGGAGGCTGGACAGTGCTGTGATGGAACCATCCCAACAGTACTGGAGAAGTCAGCATTTGGTATACATTCCTGCCACAAATGTTTATGAATGATACAAATTGAATGTTACAAGTGATACATAAAGATACAAGATTACCTGAATGAACTTCAGAAGGGAGAGGGATGGTTTGTGTGTGGGAGGGAGAGAGGGAGGGAAGGAGAGAGGGAGGGAGGACAGATAAGAGAGGGTTTGGTGGGGGTTGGGGGGTGTTGTGCAGTGAACCAGAGGATGATGTAAGCAAGTTTACTACACCAGTGTGTCGTGAGAACAATGGGAGGTGAGGCCAATGTATTACTGGTAGTGTATAGAGGAGAGTGAGAGATGGGGAGTGCGAGAGACTGGCTGAGTGAGAGTAACAGCCCCGGCCGCTTGTGACTTCATCTATATCTTAGAAATTATCTACCTTATTGCATCTGCTCGTTGAGTATTGCTGATTCTGGCTCTGTGTATCCCCGTACTCCTGTTGTGACTAATGTTAGTCACTGGGTGAGACAATCAGTCGGTGAGGTGCGGGTTATTCATGCCCGTGCCACCTCTTAGGTGGCTTAATCTCCATCAATGAGTCTGTAAGGTGCGAGGGGAGGAGTACCCTGATCGCTGGCTCCAGACACCTCATTGGTCCAATTTGATTTTCTCACTATCACCTGTTATTACTTCTGTTGCCACTACTTTGGGGCAAATTATTGTCTACGTAAGCTTTGTTTCCCCTAAATGATGGTGACTCCGCGCGTATCTCTAGCCCTTAATTACTGCTACGAGCTCTTCCTTGCGTCACCATCCTCCATGAGGAACACAGCATTGGTTATAACTTCTATAAGTTATAACCAATTGGTTATATAGTCTATTTCACTCATCTGCTCCTTCACTTCTTTAAATTTATTAGATATTTCATCTGCATTTGTGTACCGTAATTTGAATCTTCCCTTATTGTGTCTACTTTTTTGTTGATATAGTATGTAAGGTTGTGGTGGTGTCAGGGCAAGGGTTGTATTCACCTAGTTGTATTCACCTAGTTGTGTTTGCGGGGGTTGAGCTTTGCTCCGAAGGGTGAAGGTTGGGAGAGGACTGGGCAGGCAGGTGGTGAGGCAGGCCCGTCGCTCTAACGACCAGGCCAAGTGGATGGAAAGTGGAACGGGTTGAGTGATAGTGGAAGAGGTGGATAGTTTTGGAGTCAGGTGGGGGGGGGGGGATTAGGAGCCAATGTCGAGTCATTTGGCTTGTTTTCGTGTTTTCCTTGAATGTTTATTACCCATGTTGCGTGTTCTCTCATGAGTTGTGTTTATTATTCTGGTCAAAACAGAAAATGTAAACAATCTCTTTTGGTACACTGCTTCAGGTGGTGTGTTGTTTTCAGCCAAATTGTCCATCTCAGTTACCAGTAGCTTGGGTGCCATCTTTGTTGCTGAAACAACTCCAAGTGGGTGGTGGTGATGGGTGCCACGAGAGGCCAGGTGGTGATGATGAAGGGTGCCACGGAGGCCAGGTGGTGATGGGTGCCACAGGAGGCCAGGTGGTGATGATGAAGGGTGCCACAGGAGGCCAGGTGGTGGTGGTGATGGGTGCCACGAGAGACCAGGTGGTGATGGTGAAGGGTGCCACAGGAGGCCAGGTGGTGATGGTGATGGGTGCCACAGGAGGCCAGGTGGTGATGGGTGCCACGGAGGCCAGGTGGTGGTGGTGATGGGTGCCACAGGAGGCCAGGTGTTGATGGTGATGGGTCCCACAGGAGGCCAGGTGTTGATGGTGATGGGTGCCACAGGAGGCCAGGTGGTGATGGTGATGGGTGCCACAGGAGGCCAGGTGTTGATGGTGATGGGTGCCACAGGAGGCCAGGTGTTGATGGTGATGGGTGCCACAGGAGGCCAGGTGGTGATGGGTCCCACAGGAGGCCAGGTGTTGATGGTGATGGGTACCACAAGAGGCCAGGTGGTGATGGTGATGGGTGCCACAGGAGGCCAGGTGGTGATGGTGATGGGTGCCACGGAGGCCAGGTGGTGGTGGTGATGGGTGCCACAGGAGGCCAGGTGTTGATGGTGATGGGTGCCACAGGAGGCCAGGTGGTGATGGGTCCCACAGGAGGCCAGGTGTTGATGGTGATGGGTGCCACAGGAGGCCAGGTGGTGATGGGTGCCACAGGAGGCCAGGTGGTGATGGTGATGGGTGCCACAGGAGGCCAGGTGATGATGGTGATGGGTGCCACAGGAGGCCAGGTGGTGATGGTGATGGGTGCCACAGGAGGCCAGGTGATGATGGTGATGGGTGCCACAGGAGGCCAGGTGATGATGGTGATGGGTGCCACAGGAGGCCAGGTGTTGATGGTGATGGGTGCCACAGGAGGCCAGGTGTTGATGGTGATGGGTGCCACAGGAGGCCAGGTGGTGATGGGTGCCACAGGAGGCCAGGTGATGATGGTGATGGGTGCCACAGGAGGCCAGGTGGTGATGGTGATGGGTGCCACAGGAGGCCAGGTGGTGATGGTGATGGGTGCCACAGGAGGCCAGGTGATGATGGTGATGGGTGCCACAGGAGGCCAGGTGGTGATGATGAAGGGTGCCACAGGAGGTCAGGTGATGGTGAAGGGTGCCACAGGAGACCAGGTAATACGACCCATCACCATAACTTCCACAACATGCAGATCACTCACACTCAGACAACATTCCTCTCCCAACCTGCTACTCACCAAACTTTCCCAAGACCTATCAACCCCCTACATCTCCACCAATCCCTAATGTCTCCCACAACCTCCATACACCCGGCGGCTCCTGGCAGCTAGAAGCGGCCACCTGTAGTACCCTCAATTTTTCCCCCTTGTGTTGAATGGAAGCCTGTTAATTGCTTAATTGTTCCTTAATCACCCTTGTTATGTCTGGTGTGCTCGCTCGCGTGCGCACACTCTCCTCCCTCTTATCCATATTCAATGCCTCGCTCTCTTTCATCCAAGCTTTCTAATCTGTATTTTGTCTAACTCACTTATGTCTTCTCCAACTTGTTCTTCACTTTTCTGCTCTACTTGTACACTTTACTGGTGAAGGTGAGGGGTCATTGTTTCTTAAAGTAAGGAGGAGGAGAGGTTGGGAGAGGGGAGGGGGAGAGGGAGTGAGAGGAGCTAACAAGAAGGGAAGGGGTGGAGGGGTGAAGGGAAGGGGTGGAGGGAAGGTGGGAAGGGAGTAGTAGGTAGTGAAGGGAGAGGAGGAGTGAGAGGGAGGGTAGGGGGCTCCGCAGTGTTAATTAAAGCAATGATTCAGCAGCTATCACCTCTGTCATCACTCTTTGTGTACAGCCACCACTGTTCCTCCTGGCTTGGCCCCAGCCCCGCTGCTGCTGGCTTGGCCCCAGCCCCGCTGTTGCTGCTGCTGGCTTGGCCCCAGGCCCGCTGCTGCTGCTGGCTTGGCCCCAGCCCCGCTGTTGCTGCTGCTGGCTTGGCCCCAGGCCCGCTGCTGCTGCTGGCTTGGCCCCAGCCCCGCTGTTGCTGCTGCTGGCTTGGCCCCAGGCCCGCTGCTGCTGCTGGCTTGGCCCCAGCCCCGCTGTTGCTGCTGCTGGCTTGGCCCCAGGCCCGCTGCTGCTGCTGCTGGCTTGGCCCCAGCCCCGCTGTTGCTGCTGCTGGCTTGGCCCCAGGCCCGCTGCTGCTGCTGGCTTGGCCCCAGGCCTGCTGCTGCTGGCTTGGCCCCAGCCCCGCTGCTGCTGCTGCTGGCTTGGCCCCAGGCCCGCTGCTGCTGCTGCTGGCTTGGCCCCAGGCCCGCTGCTGCTGCTGCTGGCTTGGCCCCAGGCCCGCTGCTGCTGCTGCTGGCTTGGCCCCAGGCCCGCTGCTGCTGGCTTGGCCCCAGCCCCGCTGCTCCTGCTGGCTTGGCCCCAGCCCTGCTGCTGCTGCTGCTGGCTTGGCCCCAGCCCCGCTGCTGCTGCTGCTGGCTTGGCCCCAGGCCCGCTGCTGCTGCTGCTGGCTTGGCCCCAGCCCTACTGCTCCTGCTGGCTTGGCCCCATGCCCGCTGCTGCTGCTGCTGGCTTGGCCCCAGGCCCGCTGCTGCTGCTGCTGGCTTGGCCCCAGCCCCGCTGCTGCTGCTGCTGGCTTGGCCCCAGCCCTGCTGCTCCTGCTGGCTTGGCCCCAGCCCCGCTGCTGCTCCTGCTGGCTTGGCCCCAGCCCCGCTGCTGCTGGCTTGGCCCCAGCCCCGCTGCTGCTGCTGGCTTGGCCCCAGCCCTGCTGCTCCTGCTGGCTTGGCCCCAGGCCCGCTGCTGCTGGCTTGGCCCCAGCCCTGCTGCTCCTGCTGGCTTGGCCCCAGCCCCGCTGCTGCTCCTGCTGGCTTGGCCCCAGCCCCGCTGCTGCTCCTGCTGGCTTGGCCCCAGCCCCGCTGCTGCTGGCTTGGCCCCAGCCCCGCTGCTGCTCCTGCTGGCTTGGCCCCAGCCCTGCTGCTCCTGCTGGCTTGGCCCCAGGCCCGCTGCTGCTGGCTTGGCCCCAGGCCCGCTGCTGCTGCTGCTGGCTTGGCCCCAGCCCTGCTGCTCCTGCTGGCTTGGCCCCAGCCCCGCTGCTGCTCCTGCTGGCTTGGCCCCAGCCCCGCTGTTGTTGCTGCTGGCTTGGCCCCAGGCCCGCTGCTGCTGCTGCTGGCTTGGCCCCAGGCCCGCTGCTGCTGCTGCTGGCTTGGCCCCAGCCCCGCTGCTGCTGCTGCTGGCTTGGCCCCAGCCCCGCTGCTCCTGCTGGCTTGGCCCGAGCCCCGCTGCTGCTGGCTTGGCCCCAGCCCCCCGCTGCTGCTGCTGGCTTGGCCCCAGCCCCGCTGCCTTACATTTTACCCATCTTTCCTAATCTAAGTTCTTCCAATTCCATTCCTGCCACTCACCTGACCTCTAAACCTTACATGTATCCCGCGCCACTCTCCCCCCTCTCACTCTCCCCCTCTCGCTTTCACACTCTCACTCTCCCCTCTCTCACTCTCCTTTATCCCCTCCCCCTCTCTCATTTATTTGTTTACTAGACGGGATACCCGGCGGTTCCCGGGTCTGTCTCCCTCTGAAATGTTGTTCCGTGTAATGTTCCGTGAATGTGTATCATGGGTTATAGCGAGCTGCGGGTTCCTTCCTTGTGGCCAGACCTCGTGTGTCGCCTTTACCCGGCTTGTTGTAGCACATCCCCAAGCCTTGTTCCAACACTGGCTTGCTGTAGCACATCTCCAAGCCTTGTTCCAACACTGGCTTGCTGTAGCACATCCCCAAGCCTCGTCCCAACACTGGCTTGCTGTAGCACATCTCCAAGCCTTGTTCCAACACTGGCTTGTTGTAGCACATCTCCAAGCCTTGTTCCAACACTGGCTTGTTGTGGCACATCTCCAAGCCTTGTTCCAACACTGGCTTGTTGTAGCACATCCCCAAGCCTTGTTCCAACACTGGCTTGCTGTGGCACATCTCCAAGCCTCGTCCCAACACTGGCTTGCTGTAGCACATCCCCAAGCCTCGTCCCAACACTGGCTTGCTGTAGCACATCCCCAAGCCTCGTCCCAACACTGGCTTGCTGTAGCACATCCCCAAGCCTCGTCCCAACACTGGCTTGCTGTAGCACATCCCCAAGCCTCGTCCCAACACTGGCTTGCTGTAGCACATCCCCAAGCCTCGTCCCAACACTGGCTTGCTGTAGCACATCCCCAAGCCTCGTCCCAACACTGGCTTGCTGTAGCACTTCCCCAAGCCTCGTCCCAACACTGGCTTGCTGTAGCACATCCCCAAGCCTCGTCCCAACACTGGCTTGCTGTAGCACATCCCCAAGCCTCGTCCAACACTGGCTTGCTGTAGCACATCCCCAAGCCTCGTCCCAACACTGGCTTGCTGTAGCACATCCCCAAGCCTCGTCCCAACACTGGCTTGCTGTAGCACATCCCCAAGCCTCGTCCCAACACTGGCTTGCTGTAGCACATCCCCAACCCTCGTCCCAACACTGGCTTGCTGTAGCACATCCCCAAGCCTTGATCTATACCAAGAGTGCTAAAAGTCCTATCATTACCCCGAGCAACAACCCACCTCTCAGTGACTGGTTACTCTGGCCTCTGTGTTAAGAGGTTTGGTGTCCAGATTGTGTTAACAGTTTGGGCTACATTCGTCTTGCTAAGAAATATGAGTTGAGATTGATAGCGCTGTTGTGGACATGACAATGTTATATCCTCTCTCAACTGGTGACCCGGAAGAGCTTGAAGCTGATTATTCGACACACAGCCCTGAAGTTGTGATGGAGATGGATGGAGTTACGGTGTACCTCTCTCTCTCTTCACTCTATTTCTTTCCTTTCTATTCGTCAATCACAATATCTTACCCGAACAAGGGGACACAGGTGGAAACTTAGTACCCAACTGAGACACAGAGACATTAGAAAGATTTTTTTTTCATTGTCAGGGTCGTTAACAATGCATTATGGGTGATGTGGTGGAGGCTGACTCCATATATATTTTCAAATGAATATATGTAGCCCAATAGGCTCAGGAATCAGTTGAGAGGCGGGACCAAAGAGCCGAAGCTCAACCTCCGCAAGCACAACTAGATGAGTACCTCTTCTACTCCTCAACATCACCTTTCCTTACCACTATTATCTTCTCTCTCCCTTCCCTCTGTTCCCTCTTCTCTTCTCTCCCTCTTCTCTCCTCTCCCTCTCCTCTCCCTCTCCTGAGCACCTTTCTCCTTGCAAGATGACCGCCGAGAGTTGACCTTTTAAGCAACAAAAATAAGGTGTTGACCTTACGCTGTAAAGTTCTTTTTCTCAATTTGAACTTTCGTGAGCAAATAAAGTTGTCTGGTGGAGTTGACCACACCTTACACCACACTATCCTCCACGAAAATGTAGGTGTGGGTGTGGCCAAGCTGGTGGTGTGGGTGTGGCCAGGCTGGGGGTGTGGGTGTGGCCAGGCTGGTGGTGTGTGGCCAGGCTGGTGGTCTGGGTGTGGCCAGGCTGGTGGTGTGGGTGTGGCCAGGCTGGTGGTGTGGGTGTGGCCAGGCTGGTGGTGTGGGTGTGGCCAGGCTGGTGGTGTGTGTGTGTGGCCAGGCTGGTGGTGTGTGTGTGTGGCCAGGCTGGTGGTGTGGGTGTGGCCAGGCTGGTGTGTGTGTGTGTGGCCAGGCTGGTGGTGTGGGTGTGTGGCCAGGCTGGTGGTGTGGGTGTGGCCAGGCTGGTGGTGTGGGTGTGGCCAGGCTGGTGGTGTGGGTGTGGCCAGGCTGGTGGTGTGGGTGTGGCCAGGCTGGTGGTGTGGGTGTGGCCAGGCTGGTGGTGTGGGGCTGTGGCCAGGCTGGTGGTGTGTGTGTGGCCAGGCTGGTGGTGTGTGTGTGGCCAGGCTGGTGGTGTGTGTTGTGTGCCAGGCTGGTGGTGTGGGTGTGGCCAGGCTGGTGGTGTGGGTGTGGCCAGGCTGGTGGTGTGTGTGTGTGGCCAGGCTGGTGGTGTGGGTGTGGCCAGGCTGGTGGTGTGGGTGTGTGGCCAGGCTGGTGGTGTGTGTGTGTGGCCAGGCTGGTGGTGTGGGTGTGGCCAGGCTGGTGGTGTGTGGGTGTGGCCAGGCTGGTGGTGTGTGTGTGTGGCCAGGCTGGTGGTGTGTGTGTGTGGCCAGGCTGGTGGTGTGTGTGTGTGGCCAGGCTGGTGGTGTGTGGGTGTGGCCAGGCTGGTGGTGTGTGTGTGTGGCCAGGCTGGTGGTGTGGGTGTGTGTGGCCAGGCTGGTGGTGTGTGTGGTGTGGCCAGGCTGGTGGTGTGGCCAGGCTGGGGGTGTGTGGCCAGGCTGGTGGTGTGTGTGTGTGGCCAGGCTGGTGGTGTGTGTGTGTGTGGCCAGGCTGGTGGTGTGTGTGTGTGGCCAGGCTGGTGGTGTGTGTGTGTGTGTGGCCAGGCTGGTGGTGTGTGTGGTGGTGGTGTGTGGCTGTGGCCAGGCTGGTGGTGTGTGGCCAGGCTGGTGGTGTGGGTGTGTGGCCAGGCTGGGGGTGTGTGTGTGTGGCCAGGCTGTGGTGTGTGTGGCTGGTGGTGTGTGTGGGTGTGGCCAGGCTGGTGGTGTGTGGGTGTGGCCAGGCTGGGGGTGTGTGTGTGTGGCCAGGCTGGGGGTGTGTGGTGTGGCCAGGCTGGTGGTGTGTGGGTGTGGCCAGGCTGGTGGTGTGTGGGTGTGTGCCAGGCTGGTGGTGTGTGGGTGTGTGGCCAGGCTGGTGGGTGTGGGTGTGTGGCCAGGCTGGTGGTGTGTGTGGTGTGTGGCCAGGCTGGTGGTGTGTGTGTGTGGCCAGGCTGGTGGTGTGAGTGTGTGGCCAGGCTGGTGGTGTGTGGGTGTGTGGCCAGGCTGGGGGTGTGGGTGTGTGGCCAGGCTGGTGGTGCGTGGGTGTGTGGCCAGGCTGGGGGTGTGGGTGTGTGGCCAGGCTGGGGGTGTGGGTGTGTGGCCAGGCTGGTGGTGTGTGGTGTGTGGCCAGGCTGGTGGTGTGTGGGTGTGGCCAGGCTGGTGGTGTGTGGCCAGGCTGGTGGTGTGTGGGTGTGGCCAGGCTGGGGGTGTGTGTGTGTGGCCAGGCTGGGGGTGTGGGTGTGTGGCCAGGCTGGTGGTGTGTGGGTGTGGCCAGGCTGGTGGTGTGTGGGTGTGGCCAGGCTGGTGGTGTGTGGGTGTGTGGCCAGGCTGGTGGTGTGGTGGTGTGTGGCCAGGCTGGTGGTGTGTGGTGTGTGGCCAGGCTGGTGGTGTGTGGGTGTGGCCAGGCTGGTGTGTGTGTGGTGTGTGGCCAGGCTGGTGGTGTGTGGTGTGTGGCCAGGCTGGTGGTGTGTGTGTGTGGCCAGGCTGGTGGTGTGTGGGTGTGGCCAGGCTGGTGGTGTGTGGGGTGTGGGCCAGGCTGGTGGTGTGGTGTGTGTGTGCCAGGCTGGTGGTGTGGGTGTGTGGCCAGGCTGGTGGTGTGTGTGTGTGTGGTGTGGCCAGGCTGGTGGTGTGTGGGTGTGTGGCCAGGCTGGTGGTGTGGGTGTGGCCAGGCTGGTGGCCAGGCTGTGTGTGGGTGTGTGGCCAGGCTGGTGGTGTGAGTGTGTGGCCAGGCTGGTGGTGTGTGGGTGTGTGGCCAGGCTGGTGGTGTGAGTGTGTGGCCAGGCTGGTGGTGTGTGGGTGTGTGGCCAGGCTGGGGGTGTGGGTGTGTGGCCAGGCTGGTGGTGTGGGTGTGTGGCCAGGCTGGGGTGTGGTGTGGGTGTGTGGCCAGGCTGGGGGTGTGGTGTGTGGCCAGGCTGGCTGGTGTGTGTGTGGCCAGGCTGGTGGTGTGGGTGTGTGGCCAGGCTGGGGGTGTGGGTGTGTGGCCAGGCTGGGGGTGTGGGTGTGTGGCCAGGCTGGGGGTGTGGGTGTGTGGCCAGGCTGGGGGTGTGGGTGTGTGGCCAGGCTGGGGGTGTGGGTGTGTGGCCAGGCTGGGGGTGTGTGTGTGTGGCCAGGCTGGTGGTGTGGGTGTGTGGCCAGGCTGGGGGTGTGGGTGTGTGGCCAGGCTGGCCAGGCTGGCCAGGGGTGGTGTGTGTGTGGCCAGGCTGGTGGTGTGTGTGTGTGGCCAGGCTGGGGTGTGGGTGTGTGGCCAGGCTGGTGGTGTGTGTGTGTGTGGCCAGGCTGGTGGTGTGTGTGTGTGGCCAGGCTGGTGGTGTGTGTGTGGCCAGGCTGTGTGTGGCTGGCTGGTGTGTGTGTGTGTGGCCAGGCTGGTGGGTGTGTGTGTGTGGCCAGGCTGGTGGTGTGTGTGTGTGGCCAGGCTGGTGGTGTGGGTGTGTGGGTGGCCAGGCTGGGGGTGTGTGTGTGGCCAGGCTGGTGGCCAGGCTGGTGGCTGTGGGTGTGTGTGTGTGGCCAGGCTGGTGGGTGTGTGTGTGTGGCCAGGCTGGGGGTGTGTGTGTGTGTGGCCAGGCTGGTGGTGTGTGTGGTGTGTGGCCAGGCTGGTGGTGTGTGTGTGTGGCCAGGCTGGTGGTGTGTGTGTGTGTGCCAGGCTGGTGGTGTGTGTGTGTGGCCAGGCTGGTGGTGTGTGTGTGTGTGGCCAGGCTGGTGGTGTGTGTGGGTGGCCAGGCTGGTGGTGCTGGGCTGTGTGGGTCAGGCTGGTGGTGCTGTGTGGGTCAGGCTGGTGGTGCTGTGTGGGTCAGGCTGGTGGTGCTGGGCTGTGTGGGTCAGGCTGGTGGTGTGTGTGGGTCAGGCTGGTGGTGTGTGTGTGTGTGGCCAGGCTGGTGGTGTGGGTGTGGCCAGGCTGGTGGTGTGTGTGTGTGTGGCCAGGCTGGTGGTGTGTGTGTGTGTGGCCAGGCTGGTGGTGTGTGTGTGGCCAGGCTGGTGGTGTGTGTGTGTGTGGCCAGGCTGGTGGTGGTGTGGTGTGTGGCCAGGCTGGTGGTGTGTGTGTGTGTGGCCAGGCTGGTGGGTGTGTGTGTGGCCAGGCTGGTGGTGTGTGTGTGTGGCCAGGCTGGTGGTGTGTGGCCAGGCTGGTGGTGTGAGTGTGTGGCCAGGCTGGTGGTGTGTGTGTGTGTGGCCAGGCTGGTGGTGTGTGTGTGTGGCCAGGCTGGTGGTGTGTGTGTGTGGCCAGGCTGGTGGTGTGTGGGTGTGTGGCCAGGCTGGTGGTGTGTGTGTGTGGCCAGGCTGGTGGTGTGTGGGTGTGGCCAGGCTGGTGGTGTGTGGGTGTGTGGCCAGGCTGGTGGTGTGTGTGGTGTGGCCAGGCTGGTGGTGTGTGTGTGGCCAGGCTGGTGGTGTGTGTGTGTGTGCCAGGCTGGTGGTGTGGTGGCCAGGCTGGTGGTGTGTGTGTGGCCAGGCTGGTGGTGTGTGGGTGTGGCCAGGCTGGTGGTGTGTGTGTGTGTGGCCAGGCTGGTGGTGTGGGTGTGGCCAGGCTGGTGGTGTGTGTGTGTGGCCAGGCTGGTGTGGTGTGTGGCCAGGCTGGTGTGTCGCCAGGCTGGTGGTGTGTGGGCCAGGCTGGTGGTGTGCCAGGCTGGTGGTGTGTGTGTGGCCAGGCTGGTGTGTGTGTGTGTGGCCAGGCTGGTGGTGTGTGTGTGTGTGGCCAGGCTGGTGGTGTGTGTGTGGCCAGGCTGGTGTGGCCAGGCTGGTGGTGTGTGTGTGTGGCCAGGCTGGTGGTGTGTGGTGTGTGGCCAGGCTGGGGTGTGTGTGTGTGTGGCCAGGCTGGTGGTGTGTGTGTGTGGCCAGGCTGGTGGTGTGTGTGTGTGGCCAGGCTGGTGGTGTGGGTGTGTGGCCAGGCTGGTGGTGTGTGTGTGTGTGGCCAGGCTGGTGGTGTGTGTGTGTGTGCCAGGCTGGGTGGTGTGTGGCCAGGCTGGTGTGGCCAGGCTGGTGGTGTGTGGGTGTGTGGCCAGGCTGGGTGGTGTGTGTGGGTGTGGCCAGGCTGGTGGTGTGTGGGGTGTGGCCAGGCTGGTGGTGTGGGTGTGGCCAGGCTGGGGGTGTGTGGGTGTGGCCAGGCTGGTGGTGTGTGTGTGTGTGTGGCCAGGCTGGGGGTGTGTGTGTGTGGCCAGGCTGGGGGTGTGTGGGTGTGGCCAGGCTGGTGGTGTGTGGGTGTGGCCAGGCTGGTGGTGTGGGTGTGGCCAGGCTGGGGGTGTGGGTGTGTGGCCAGGCTGGTGGTGTGGGTGTGGCCAGGCTGGTGATGTGGGTGTGGCCAGGCTTGGTGTGTGTGTGTGTGGCCAGGCTGGGGGTGTGTGGGTGTGTGGCCAGGCTGGGGGTGTGGGGTGTGGCCAGGCTGGGGGTGTGGGTGTGGCCAGGCTGGTGGTGTGTGTGTGTGGCCAAATTCTCAATTACCCTACGACACATATCTCACACTAATACCAACATCAGGATAAGATTGAGAATATAAATATGTCACATATTTATAATGTAAAATCAAACGGAATAAAACCTGATCCACGAAAAAAAATTGAGATACAATTATATGAAAATAATGTTTAGTATAATATTTGTACGTGTCACGAAACCTGAGAGAGAACTCGAGGAATTTTTTAAGATATTTCCAAACGATTCTTCAAATTCTCTTAACTTTGGTTTTATTTCCAGAATTCTCTACCTTTACCCTTATAACATCCCCCGCTCTCTGTCTCTCTCTTTCTCTGTCTCTGTCTCTCTCTCTGTCTCTGTCTCTCTCTCTGTCTCTCTCTGTCTCTCTCTGTCTCTCTCTCTCTCTCTCTCTCTCTCTCTCTCTCTCTCTCTCTCTCTCTCTCTGTCTCTCTCTCTCTCTCTGTCTCTCTCTCTCTGTCTCTCTCTCTCTGTCTCTCTCTCTCTCTCTCTCTCTCTCTCTCTCTCTCTCTCTCTCTCTCTCTCTCTGTCTCTCTCTGTCTCTCTCTCTGTCTCTCTCTCTCTCCCACAATTCCATGGGGTAACTATGCCACTTTTGCTGGCTTTGATGCCATTCCTGGAGCATTGTTCTTAGGGCCACGCACTGGGGTTGTGGTTTATGGAGAAGGTATTTTAAACATTTTCAGGCTGTCACTAACATTGCCAGGCTGTCACTAACATTCTCAGACTGTCACTAACATTCTCAGGCTGTCACTAACATTCTCAGGCTGTCACTAACATTCTCAGGCTGTCACTAACATTCTCAGACTGTCACTAACATTCTCAGGCTGTCACTAACATTCTCAGGCTGTCACTAACATTCTCAGACTGTCACTAACATTCTCAGGCCGTCACTAACATTCTCAGGCTGTCACTAACATTCTCAGGCCGTCACTAACATTCTCAGGCCGTCACTAACATTCTCAGGCCGTCACCAACATTCTCAGGCTGTCACCAACATTCCCAGACTCTCACCAACATTCCCAGACCCTCACCAACATTCCCAGACCCTCACCAACATTCCCAGACCTTCACCAACATTCCCAGACCCTCACCAACAATCCCAGACCCTCACCAACATTCCCAGACCCTCACCAACATTCCCAGACCCTCACCAACATTCCCAGACCCTCACCAACATTCCCAGACTCTCACCAACATTCCCAGACCCTCACCAACATTCCCAGTCCCTCACCAACATTCCCAGCCCCTCACCAACATTCCCAGACCCTCACCAACATTCCCAGACCCTCACCAACATTCCCAGACCCTCACCAACATTCCCAGACCCTCACCAACATTCCCAGACTCTCGCCAACATTCCCAGACTCTCGCCAACATTCCCAGACCCTCACCAACATTCCCAGACTGTCACCAACATTCCCAGACCCTCACCAACATTCCCAGACCCTCGCCAACATTCCCAGACTCTCGCCAACATTCCCAGACCCTCACCAACATTCCCAGGCTGTCACCAACATTCCCAGACCCTCACCAACATTCCCAGACCCTCCCCAACATTCCCAGACCCTCACCAACATTCCCAGACTCTCACCAACATTCCCAGACTCTCACCAACATTCCCAGACCCTCACCAACATTCCCAGTCCCTCACCAACATTCCCAGACCCTCACCAACATTCCCAGGCCCTCACCAACATTTCCAGACCCTCACCAACATTCCCAGACCCTCACCAACATTCCCAGACCCTCACCAACATCCCCAGTCCCTCACCAACATTCCCAGACCCTCACCAACATTCCCAGTCCCTCAACATTCCCAGACCCTCACCAACATTCCCAGACCCTCACCAACATTCCCAGACCCTCACCAACATTCCCAGACCCTCACCAACATTCCCAGACCCTCACCAACATTCCCAGACCCTCACCAACATTCCCAGACCCTCACCAACATTCCCAGACCCTCACCAACATTCCCAGACCCTCACCAACATTCCCAGATCCTCACCAACATTCCCAGACCCTCACCAACATTCCCAGACTCTCACTAACATTCCGCACACTCCTTCTATCTTGAGGTTATCTTGAGATGATTTCGGGGCTTTAGTGTCCCCGCGGCCCGGTCCTCGACCAGGCCTCCACCCCCAGGAAGCAGCCCGTGACAGCTGACTAACACCCAGGTACCTATTTTACTGCAAGGTAACAGGGGCATAGGGTGAAAGAAACTCTGCCCATTGTTTCTCGCTGGCGCCTGGGATCGAACCCTGGACCACAGGATTACGAGTCCAGCGTGCTGTCCGCTCGGCCGACCGGCTCCTCGCTCACAGTTTCGTCTCTTTGTGTGTGTGTGTGTGTGTTTGTGTGTGTGTGTGTGTGTGTGTGTGTGTGTGTGTTTGTGTGTGTGTGTGTGTGTGTGTGTGTGTGTGTGTGTGAGTGTGTGTGTGTGTGTACTCACCTAATTGTGCTTGCGGGGGTTGAGCTCTGGCTCTTTGGTCCTGGAGCCGGTGTGTGTGTGTGTGTGTGTGTGTGTGTGTGTGTGTGTGTGTGTGTGTGTGTGTGTGTGTGTGTGTGTGTGTGTGTGTGTGTGTGTGTGTGTAGCTCCCAACAGCCTTTTCCTGGGGGGGTGTGTAAATAATAATATCCCACAGGTGAGTGTGTTAGAGCAGCCGGCAGGGTATATAACCCGGGCCGGGGTAATGTATCCCACTCGAATTTACACTAATTTGATTCCACTTGCACACACACACGAGACTGCTCCTTCAGTACTCGGATTTTCATTTGTAGCTGTGCGTCAACGGCATTCCCATTCCCGTGGCGCTCTTCCCTGCCTATTCCAACTGTGCGGGGTGTCCTTCCGTTCCCATTCCAACCTTGAGGCTCTGGCAGCACTGTTTTATGGGGGAGGAGGGGGGGAAGAGGTCCTTACTTCGGCGTCGCCTCCTCCCCCGGGGAGAATTTGAGCGGGAGAGTGTGGCGGTGGGAGACCTGAGGTCAGATTCACGAAAGCACTTACGAACCTGTACATCTTTTCTCAATCTTTGGCGGCTTTGTTTACAATTAGTAAACAGTTAATGAGCTCCGAAGCACCAGGAGGCTGTTTATAACAATAACAACAGTTGATTGGTAAAAGTTTTCATGCTTGTAAACTGTTTAATAAATGTAACCAAAGCCGTCAAAGATTGTGGAAAGATGTACAGCTTCGTAAGTGCTTGCGTAAGTTTCGTGAATCTGCCCCCTGGGGTCTTCCCCAGGTGGCGAGACGTGAGGGTGGGAGGCAGTGACTTATTTGTTCCTTGGGGAGAGTTTAGATTTCCTGAAAAGGCGACAGGAAGGAGAAACAGGATTGGCCCCTTGTCCTGCAGGTCGTCTCGCCATTAACACCACCAAGCTAAGGAGGACTGTAGGACGTTGTAGGGTTATGTCTTGAGGTTATCTTGAGATGATTTCGGGGACTTTAGTGTCCCCGCGGCACGGTCCTCGGCCAGGCCTCCACCCCCAGGAAGCAGCCCGTGACAGCTGACTAACACCCAGGTACCTATTTTACTGCTAGGTAACAGAGGCATAGGGTGAAAGAAACTCTGCCCATTGTTTCTCGCCGGCGCCCGGGATCGAACCCGGGACCACAGGATCACAAGTCCAGCGTGCTGTCCGCTCGGCCGACCGGCTCCCATGTGAGGGTGACCTTGATAAACGCCAGGAGTGGGTAAACAATTGATTGATGCATTTCAATCGCAATAAGTGTAAGGTAATGAAGATGGGAAAGGGAGAAATAAGACAGTTATTACACCATAAGAGGACTTAAGGCAACCACAGGCGTCGGAGAGGGAAATAGGATTTGGAAGTGGCTATATTTCTAAAACTAACTCCCCGAGGTACACACAAACATGATAACATCAGCAGCATATGCGACGCTGGCAATCATTTGAATGTTTAGAAACCTAAACCAGGAACCTTTCAAGATAATCTACACAGCCTTTGTTAAACCAATCCTGGAATATGCCTGGTATCCACCTTACCTACCTTGAGGTGCTTCCGGGGCTTAGCGTCCCCGCGGCCCGGTCGTCGACCAGGCCTCCACGCATTGTGAAACATAAGACCAGAACTGGAAAAGTACAAAGGTTTGCAAGTAGATTAGTGCCAGAGCTAAGAGGGATGATCTATGAATATATGTTGAGGAACTAGACCTGATAACCCTAGAGAAGAAAGAGAGGAGACATGATCGTAACATACAAGATACCTGGGGAATTAACAAGGTGGACAAGGACAGTCTCTTTAAAGTGAGAGAAAATAGAACGAGATATGAAAAGGTTGAAGCTGTAAACACAAACGAGCCGAAAAATGCAAGAAAGCACTAGGAGGCCTGGTCGGAGACCGGGGCTCAGGGATGCTGAGCCCGGAAATGATCGCAAGGTAAAGGTAAGCACTCGTACCCTTTACGAGTCAATAAGTGAAATATTCTGAAAGAAGTTATGGAAGCCACCTCCACCATCAACGCTTAAGCCAGATGCAACAAAGAATTCAAACAAGAATAACTAAAGTGATAGACCTCACCTTCCTGTAGTTAGTGATAGGCCGAACCGGACATGGGAGCCGGTCGGCCGAGCGGACAGCACGCTGGACTTGTGATCCTGTGGTCCTGGGTTCGATCCCAGGCGCCGGCGAGAAACAATGGGCAGAGTTTCTTTCACCCTATGCCCCTGTTACCTAGCAGTAAAATAGGTACCTGGGTGTTAGTCAGCTGTCACGGGCTGCTTCCTGGGGGTGGAGGCCTGGTCGAGGACCGGGCCACGGGGACACTAAAGCCCCGAAATCATCTCAAGATAACCATCTCAAGATAGGCAAGTTATACCCCTCCCCACCCCCGTGCCCTCCCCACCCCCGTGCCCTCCCCACCCCCGTGCCCTCCGCACCCCTCCCGCCCCCCTCCCCCCCCCCCCTCTGGGTGCCTCAAACACGAGGCCAATCACAACTTGCCTTAAGAAGCCGGTGTCAGCCAGCATAATACCAGATCGAGGCTCAAGTGTCAGCCAGTCAGAACATTAGAACAAGGCTGAGTGTCAGCCAATCAACGGAGGGCTTCCAGTTCAATCCCCCAAAGGCGCGCGAAACAGTCGAGCGAATGGTGAGAGACACGACTCGCAGAGACACTCGGGCGCGCTGTCCTTAAGGGCGCACCGGCATTACAATAATGAACGAGACTCGACCTTACGGCGTGAGGTGGCGACGCTGGTTCATGCCGCACAGAGGGGGGAGGCTCCCGGGCCATGAATAGAGTGCGTCCAGAGAGTCACTGACATATAGGCCTCACTGAGACGCCGATGAATACTCGATCCTGCCGCCGGCTGCTTGCAAGCACCCGGCCTGATCTGAGGGCCTTTCATACATCATACATCTCCTTTCACAAACGCCCCACCTGCTGGTTTTGGACCACCGAGTTAAAGTCTTCTTTTTGGTGGTGGGGGGCGGCTTTCATTGGGAAGTGTGGAGCCCGGTAGACTCTGCCACCAACCACCAATTTCTGAAACCGGTTGCAAAGAATAGGTTTTCGAAAGCTATTGACTAGCTTTTAAGCTAGTTCCATGCGGCACTCCTGTGGTTACTGTGGGGGGCGGGGAAGGTGGCTGGTGGATGGGTATTTAGGGAGTGGGAAGTGGATCTGTGGCTTGGTTGGTGAGTGGTTCAGGCTGTGGGTACAGGCTGTGGGTGTAGACTGTGGGTGTAAGGTGAGTGTGCAGGCTGTGGGTGCAGGCTGAGGGTGTAGACTGTGGGTGCAGGCTGTGGGTGCAGGCTGAGGGTGCAGGCTGTGGGTGCAGGCTGTGGGTGAAGGCTGTGGGTGCAGGCTGAGGGTGCAGGCTGTGGGTGCAGGCTGTGGGTGCATGCTGTGGGTGCAGGCTGTGGGTGCAGGCTGTGGGTGCAGGCTGTGGGTGCAGGCGTGTGCCGCTCTGATTCAGTCAATATCGAGAGGAAATTCTCCAACAAAACGGAAGCCATCTCACCGGAGGCGCCTGGAGGTGTTGGCGGTGCTCCGTCACCCTGGGGGTGAACACCGCGCCTGGAGGTGGTGTTGACGGGTGCTCCGTCACCCTGGGGGTGAACACCGCGCCTGGAGGTGGTGTTGACGGGTGCTCCGTCACCCTGGGGGTGAACACCGCGCCTGGAGGTGGTGTTGACGGGTGCTCCGTCACCCTGGGGGTGAACACCGCGCCTGGAGGTGGTGTTGACGGGTGCTCCGTCACCCTGGGGGTGAACACCGCGCCTGGAGGTGGTGTTGACGGGTGCTCCGTCACCCTGGGGGTGAACACCACGCCTCGAGGTGGTGTTGACGGGTGCTCCGTCACCCTGGGGGTGAACACCGCGCCTGGAGGTGGTGTTGGCGGGTGCTCTGTCACCCTGGGGGTGAACACCGCGCCTGGAGGTGGTGTTGACGGGTGCTCCGTCACCCTGGGGGTGAACACCGCGCCTGGAGGTGGTGTTAACAGGTGCTCCGTCACCCTGGGGGTGAACACCGCGCCTGGAGGTGGTGTTGACGGGTGCTCCGTCACCCTGGGGGTGAACACCGCGCCTGGAGGTGGTGTTAACAGGTGCTCCGTCACCCTGGGGGTGAACACCGCGCCTGGAGGTGGTGTTGACGGGTGCTCCGTCACCCTGGGGGTGAACACCGCGCCTGGAGGTGGTGTTAACAGGTGCTCCGTCACCCTGGGGGTGAACACCGCGCCTGGAGGTGGTGTTGACGGGTGCTCCGTCACCCTGGGGGTGAACACCACGCCTGGAGGTGGTGTTGACGGGTGCTCCGTCACCCTGGGGGTGAACACCGCGCCTGGAGGTGGTGTTGTGCTCCTGTGGGAAAGTCTCCCAGCAATGAATATTTTGTCATACGCCAATGGACAGGAAAATTATCATTATGCAAATAACTTTCTTCAAGTTGAAGATGTATTTAAGTTAGTAATCTTGCTCTCTAAAGTCTCCCTGGACCCGTCACTCACAGTCTTGTGGGTGTGGGGCACTGTGGGCACGCCGTCATGCCCTCCTCACCCATTAATGGTCCGGGAGGGTATTATGGGCACCACAGACGCTAGACCGTTATCTTGAGATGATTTCGGGGCTTTAGTGTCCCCCCGCGGCCCGGTCCTCGACCAGGCCTCCACCCCCCATGAAGCAGCCCGTGACAGCTGACTAACACCCCAGGTACCTATTTTACTGCTAGGTAACAGGGGCATAGGGTGAAAGAAACTCTGCCCATTGTTTCTCGCCGGTGCCCGGGATCGACCCCGGGACCCAGGATCGACCCCGGGACCCAGGATCGACCCCGGGACCCAGGATCGACCCCGGGACCCAGGATCGACCCTGGGACCCAGGATCGACCTTGGGACCCAGGATCGACCCCGGGACCCAGGATCGACCCCGGGACCCAGGATCGACCCCGGGACCCAGGATCGACCCCGGGACCCAGGATCGACCCCGGGACCACAGGATCACAAGTCCAGTGTGCTGCCCGCTCGGCCGACCGTGCATAATTACGCTCACCACCACCCACATTTTACGCCATGTTTTATCGTACGTTCCGGCGACGAAGGTATTATTATTTCTCGTGTCTCTCCCTCTCTCCATTCATGTCTTCGTGTGCGTGTTGGTGCGTTGTCAACCATCACATGACAACCCGCAGGGCGACCACACCACTCATTAGAAAGTGAAGGGACGACGACGTTTCGGTCCGTCCTGGACCATTCTTAAGTCGATTGTGTCATTGACACGATTGTGTGTCAAGTCACACAATCGACTTGAGAATGGTGGTTGTTGTTGTTTAAGATTCGCTACCTGGAACAAAAAGTTCCAAGTAGCACGGGCTATGGTGAGCCCATTCTTGAGAATGGTCCAGGACGGACAGAAAACGTCGTCATCCCTTCACTTTCTGGTGTGTGGTCTGGTCAACATACTTCAGCCACGTTATTGTGACTTCTCGCCTGCGACCAGTAGGTTCCAAAGGGGCCCCTGGCCTTGGGCAGGTTCCAAAGGGGCCCCTGGCCTTGGGCAGGTTCCAAAGGGGCCCCTGGCCTTGGGCAGGTTCCAAAGGGACCCCTGGCCTTGGGCAGGCTCCAAAGGGGCCCCTGGCCTTGGGCTGCTCCACTATGAACACTTGACCATTACGGGAGCCGGTCGGCCGAGCGGACAGCACGCTGGACCTGTAATCCTGTGGTCCCGGGTTCGATCCCGGGCGCTGGCGAGAAACAATGGGCAGAGTTTCTTTCACCCTATGCCCCTGTTACCTAGCAGTAAAATAGGTACCTGGGTGTTAGTCAGCTGTCACGGGCTGCTTCCTGGGGGTGGAGACCTGGTCGAGGACCGGGCCGCGGGGACACTAAAGCCCCGAAATCATCTCAAGATAACCTCAAGATTCCACTTGATCCATTAATTCTGACTCTTTGTTTCCCTTGGGTATGACCGTGCCAGGTTCAGTTCGGGGTGCCACCCCCAGTGCCATGGGGCTCTTATTGACCGGTCTTTCGTGCAGTATTGTATCAAAAGATAACAGGGATCTCGATTTGTGGCTCCACTTACCAGATAACTCAATAGTGGTAGGATCTCTTGATTGTTTCAAGTGTAGGTTATACATATATATGAATGAATTAGGTGGGGAGGTAAATAGGAGCTCCCACGTATGAGTCAATAGAGCCTCCTGCAGTTTCCTTGATTCTTATGTTGTTCGTACTACCAGCAACATTTAAGAACGTAATAGTTACTGGCCACAGTTACTGAAGCCCACACACGAGTCCAACTCTCACTCCACGGGGTCATTAAGACAGCATCACACACTGTGGGTGCAGACTGTGGGTGCAGGCTGTGGGTGCAGGCTGTGGGTGCAGGCTGTGGGTGCAGGCTGTGGGTGCGGGTTGTGGGTGTAGACTGTGGGTCCAGGCTGTGGGTGCACCCACAACCTGCACCCTCAGGGTCGAGGCCCCCGCAGGAACAACCCCCCCCCCTCCTCCGCCCACAAAACCCAACAGCCTTGAGAAGGCGGTCTTAACAACAGTGTCGCAGGCTACAACTGTGCCGCCACCACAACTGTGCCGCCACCACAACTGTGCCGCCGCCACCACAACTGTGCCGCCGCCACCACAACTGTGCCGCCGCCACCACAACTGTGCCGCCACCACAACTGTGCCGCCACCACAACTGTGCCGCCACCACAACTGTGCCGCCACCACAACTGTGCCGCCACCACAACTGTGCCGCCACCACAACTGTGCCGCCACCACAACTGTGCCACCACCACAACTGTGCCGCCACCACAACTGTGCCGCCACCACAACTGTGCCGCCACCACAACTGTGCCGCCACCACAACTGTGCCGCCACCACAACTGTGCCGCCACCACAACTGTGCCGCCGCACCACAACTGTGCCGCCACCACAACTGTGCCGCCACCACAACTGTGCCGCCACCACAACTGTGCCACCACCACAACTGTGCCGCCACCACAACTGTGCCGCCACCACAACTGTGCCACCACCACAACTGTGCCGCCACCACAACTGTTCCACCACCACAACTGTGCCGCCACCACCACTGTGCCACCACCACAACTGTGCCACCACCACAACTGTGCCGCCACCACAACTGTGCCGCCACCACAACTGTGCCGCCACCACAACTGTGCCGCCACCACAACTGTGCCGCCACCACAACTGTGCCGCCACCACAACTGTGCCGCCACCACAACTGTGCCGCCGGCACCACAACTGTGCCGCCACCACAACTGTGCCGCCACCACAACTGTGCCGCCACCACAACTGTGCCACCACCACAACTGTGCCGCCACCACAACTGTGCCGCCACCACAACTGTGCCACCACCACAACTGTGCCGCCACCACAACTGTGCCGCCGCCACCACAACTGTGCCGCCACCACAACTGTGCCGCCGGCACCACAACTGTGCCGCCACCACAACTGTGCCGCCACCACAACTGTGCCGCCACCACAACTGTGCCGCCGCCACCACAACTGTGCCGCCACCACAACTGTGCCGCCGGCACCACAACTGTGCCGCCACCACAACTGTGCCGCCACCACAACTGTGCCGCCACCACAACTGTGCCACCACCACAACTGTGCCGCCACCACAACTGTGCCGCCACCACAACTGTGCCGCCACCACAACTGTGCCGCCACCACAACTGTGCCGCCACCACAACTGTGCCGCCACCACAACTGTGCCGCCACCACAACTGTGCCACCACCACAACTGTGCCGCCACCACAACTGTGCCGCCACCACAACTGTGCCACCACCACAACTGTGCCGCCACCACAACTGTGCCGCCACCACAACTGTGCCGCCGCCACCACAACTGTGCCGCCACCACAACTGTGCCGCCACCACCACTGTGCCGCCACCACAACTGTGCCGCCACCACAACTGTGCCGCCACCACAACTGTGCCGCCACCACAACTGTGCCGCCACCACAACTGTGCCACCACCACAACTGTGCCGCCACCACAACTGTGCCGCCACCACAACTGTGCCGCCACCACAACTGTGCCGCTACCACCACTGTGCCGCCACCACAACTGTGCCGCCACCACAACTGTGCCGCCACCACAACTGTGCCGCCACCACAACTGTGCCGCCACCACAACTGTGCCGCCACCACAACTGTGCCGCCACCACCACAACTGTGCCGCCACCACCACTGTGCCGCCACCACCACAACTGTGCCGCCACCACAACTGTGCCGCCACCACAACTGTGCCGCCACCACAACTGTGCCGCCACCACAACTGTGCCGCCACCACCACCACTGTGCCGCCACCACCACAACTGTGCCGCCACCACAACTGTGCCGCCGCCACCACAACTGTGCCGCCACCACCACCACTGTGCCGCCACCACCACAACTGTGCCGCCACCACAACTGTGCCGCCGCCACCACAACTGTGCCGCCACCACCACAACTGTGCCGCCACCACCACTGTGCCGCCACCACCACAACTGTGCCGCCACCACCACTGTGCCGCCACCACCACAACTGTGCCGCCACCACAACTGTGCCGCCAGCACCTCGCCAGTAATATATTCATGCAGGCAGCCCGGGGAAAATCCCTCACCGTTCTACATCTTTATATCGCTGTGATTCCTCTTTTGCAACACAGTTTTATAATTGTGTCTTCTCTTGACAGTCATCTGAGCGTGTCGACTGAACGAAGGTCATAGGGCCAGCTTCATCAAGCAGTTACGCATTTTCCGAAAATGTTCGTTCTTGGCGGTTAATTCGTGATTCATCAAACTGTTTAAGAACGCAGATATTTCTAACAACACGGCTCCAGGAGCCAGATTCACGAAGCAGTTACGCAAGCACTTACGAACCTATGCATCTTTTCTCAATCTTTGGCGGCTTTGTTTACAATTATTAAACAGTTAATGGTTGTCAATTGTTTTTGAAAATATAGGCCAACAAATTAAATAATTAATGGAAAATCAAATATTTAATACTAAGTCAATGAATTTTAATTAAGAAAATCTAATTAAGAAGTATAATCTAACTTTTTCCTGTACTTTTCATATCTCTAAATTGTATCTCTGTGAACCGCAGCAGAACACTTTCATGTGTGGTAGTGAGGTTAAGTGCATGTTGTTGTTGTTCTTGTTTTAGATTTATCATATGGGAGCCGGTCGGCCGAGCGGACAGCACGCTGGACTTGTGATCCTGTGGTCCTGGGTTCGATCCCAGGCGCCGGCGAGAAACAATGGGCAGCGTTTCTTTCACCCTATGCCCCTGTTACCTAGCAGTAAAATAGGTACCTTGGTGTTAGTCAGCTGTCACGGGCTGCTTCCTGGGGGTGGAGGCCTGGTCGAGGACCGGGCCGCGGGGACACTAAAAAAAAGCCCCGAAATCATCTCAAGATAACCTCAAGATATTATCTACTATGAACGAAGTGTTCATGCAGCACGGGCTACGGTGAGCCCGTAAGTAAGTGTATCACTACACCATGGTTACTACACCCTTGACAGCACCTCACCAACCAGCAAGTATACTTTAGTCTCGGAATATGTTCAGGAATAAAGTAAAAATCTCAATGTGTATATGTACACCAATAAATGAAGTACACATTTTTGGTGTATATTCCTCCGTTATTTCCACCTACAAACACACCGCTATTAACCCTGGACGCGGTTCCCCCAACACTAAACCACTCTGGAGAGTTATGAAAAACATAAGAACATAAGAACAAAGGCAACTGCAGAAGGCCTATTGGCCCATACGAGGCAGCTCCTATTTATAACCACCCAATCCCACTCATATACTTGTCCAACCCGCGCTTGAAACAATCGAGGGACCCCACCTCCAGCACGTTACGCGGTAATTACGCGACAATCGACTTGAGAATGGTCCAGGACGGACCGAAACGTCGTCGTCCCTTCAATTTCTAGTGTGTGGTCTGGTCAACATACTTCAGCCACGTTATTGTGACTCATCGCCTGCAATTGGTTCCACAAATCAAACTTGCACAGGAGTTTGCTGGCTAATCAATATACTTCACTCCTGAATGTTATTGAGGACTAAATCAACTCTGTACACTGAAAAGCTGAGTAAACCTCTAGATGAATGTGTTAATTGGTTTTGTTTACGTAAACTAGCTGATATATAAGACGTGTGTCATTGGTCAGTTGTGTAGCTGAGCCAGTAACGTCATTGGTCAGTTGTGTAGCTGAACCAGTAACGTCATTGGCCAGTTGTCTAACTGAGCCAGTAACGTCAATGGTCAGTTGTGTAGCTGAACCAGTAACGTCAATGGTCAGTTGTGTAGCTGAACCAGTAACGTCAATGGTCAGTTGTGTAGCTGAACCAGTAACGTCATTGGTCACTTGTGTAACTGAACCAGTAACGTCATTGGTCACTTGTGTAGCTGAACCAGTAACGTCATTGGTCACTTGTGTAGCTGAACCAGTAACGTCATTGGTCAGTTGTGTAGCTGAACCAGTAACGTCAATGGTCAGTTGTGTAGCTGAACCAGTAACGTCAATGGTCAGTTGTGTAGCTGAACCAGTAACGTCAATGGTCAGTTGTGTAGCTGAGCCACTAACGTCATTGGTCAAGACGATCAGATTAACAATGTCACCTTCACTCTTGCTGACTAAATACCAAACAGTAGTGACCATCAAGAAGCAAGTGAGCCAATACAACATTCCTAAACAAATCGTAAGATCACCTTGATGAATGTGGTGTAGGGAGGTCTTCTCACACGCAGTTCCTAAGACCCATCGTAGCACCGCCACTTAGAAGAAATGCACGACGCTTAGTGAATACCTGAAGTGTTCCAAGTGTTCCTAGTGTTCCAAGACTGTTATATGCGGTAATGACCAAATTACACATCAAAAAATGAGGCGACCGCGACGTTTCGGTCCCTCCTGGACCATTATAAAGTCTGAAAATGGTCCAGGAAGGACCGAAACGTCGTCGTCGCTTCATCTTCTGGTGTGTGGTTTGTGTCTTATCTTCAGACACGTTGTGACTCGTCGTCTGCACTGTTGCAGGTGTGCAGCAGGTGTGGTGATGAGGCTTCCCTTACCTCAACACACCAACCCCTAACCAGCACAATTGTTCCACCCTAACACCTCCAAACCTCCATAATTTTAAAACGAAACAAATTTTTAATTTCGTCTTTCAAAACCAATAAAAATATATATAAATATACATATATATAACTATATTTTCCGTGGATATACAGAATTTCGTATTAAACAATATTCACAAAACACGTCCTTTAATACGGAGAGTAAATACGGTGTAATACGCTGTAGTGTAATACAAGAAATACAAGGTAAATACAGTAGAAAAAATCTATTCTTCCCAAACATATTTTGTATAAATATATTTGTGCCCACATGTTCCAAATTTCTTTTAAAATTTACGAATGTTATATATACCAACAATGTTTACATTATCCTACGTAACAATGTTAAATGAGGTCAAATTAAGCTAAGCAGAGATCTGTTACGATAACTTGTACAGTGAAAAACGTCCGTTGACCCAAGTCACTGTGAGCCCCCCAGGTGATTACTGTAAGTGAAACAGTGTAAGCCGCACTGTAAGGGTTAAGACAGAGAGTAAGATGTCGGGTACTAGTCGTAAGTTCTGAGCTGGTGGGTGTATGGGTAGGTGTGTGGGAGGGCAGGTGTGTGGGAGGGTAGGTGTGTGGGAGGGTAGGTGTGTGGGAGGGCAGGTGTGTGGGAGGGCAGGTGTGTGGGAGGGCAGGTGTGTGGGAGGGTAGGTGTGTGGGAGGGCAGGTGTGTGGGAGGGTAGGTGTGTGGGAGGGCAGGTGTGTGGGAGGGCAGGTGTGTGGGAGGGCAGGTGTGTGGGAGGGTAGGTGTGTGGGAGGGCAGGTGTGTGGGAGGGCAGGTGTGTGGGAGGGTAGGTGTGTGGGAGGGCAGGTGTGTGGAAGGGTAGGTGTGTGGGAGGGCAGGTGTGTGGGAGGCAGGGAGGCTGGCTGAGATCGAGAGGATTGGCGCCGGTGGCGACGCCGATTATGCTAAAACCTTCAGAAGCTAATTGATTATTCCTTCGCCATTATCGTCTTACGGGCCAAGTATGTAACAAGGGAGAGATTATCACCCTCGGCGCCGCCCTGCTCGACCTTGTGACTCTAGGCCCGGGGCTCTAGGCCCGGGGCTCTAGGCCCGGGGCTCTACGCCTCCAGGATAACTAACTCTCCTGAGAACGGCTCGGCTTACTCGACAGGATCTGTGTATTATCTGTGAGACGCGAGATCTTCTTTAATGGTGTTGGTAGTATGGGAACCAGCGGCTGGCACCAGCGGCTGGCACCAGCGGCTGGCACCAGCGGCTGGCACCAGCGGCTGACACCAGCGGCTGACACCAGCGGCTGGCACCAGCGGCTGGCACCAGCGGCTGACACCAGCGGCTGGCACCAGCGGCTGACACCAGCGGCTGACACCAGCGGCTGGCACCAGCGGCTGACACGGCTGGCACCAGCGGCTGACACCGGCTGACAGCGGCTGACAGCGGCTGGCACCAGCGGCTGGCACCAGCGGCTGGCACCAGCGGCTGCAGCGGCTGGCACCAGCGGCTGGCACCAGCGGCTGACACCAGCGGCTGACACCAGCGGCTGGCACCAGCGGCTGGCACCAGCGGCTGACACCAGCGGCTGACACCAGCGGCTGGCACCAGCGGCTGACACCAGCGGCTGACACCAGCGGCTGGCACCAGCGGCTGGCACCAGCGGCTGACACCAGCGGCTGGCACCCGGCTGGCACCAGCGGCTGACACCAGCGGCTGACACCAGCGGCTGGCACCAGCGGCTGGCACCAGCGGCTGACACCAGCGGCTGGCACCAGCGGCTGGCACCAGCGGCTGACACCAGCGGCTGGCACCAGCGGCTGACACCAGCGGCTGGCACCAGCGGCTGACACCAGCGGCTGACACCAGCGGCTGGCACCAGCGGCTGACACCAGCGGCTGGTGAACGCCGCATTTTGTCGTATACTTTACCTTAGGCCAAAAATCGTCGTACTAGGAAATGAAAACGGCTCGCGAAGTTGACATATTCTCCCGTTTTCTGTTTTGGGTCCTCTGGTAGGTTAGGATAGGGGGGGGGGGGACTTGAGTACAACAGTTTCCTGACGTTGGGACACCTTAGGAAGACGGGCTGTTGCTCCTGATATAAAAGATAGCAACATTAAACGTTAAATAAATAAATGACTAACTCTTGCCTTGTTCCATTGTTCACGCGTTGTTCACCAGCCGGCCACCCTGCACACTGGAACACATTTTATACATTGTATAATGTATTATATTGGATCAATACTGAGGAATTGAACTTAGGCCTCTGGTTACCCCAGATGTTCTTCATTGTATATAATACACCTACATTAAGTCTTATACGTGAATACTTCAGTAATATCATGCCATAATGTAACTATGCATAAAGTTCTGCAAGTTCAATCACAGAACACTTACGTAATGTTCTACTATATGTGCCTTATATCACAAAGTTTTCACATGTGGCTATATATTGGGTAGATGAATAGAGGCAGTACAACGGGATCGAACCCATGTGGCTGGAGCAGTCGGTAGTGCGTGTCCCAGAGATGACATGGGGGCGCAGGATCGATCCCCTCGTATAGTATTCAAATAATCTCCCTAGTGTTTCATGCTTCATTGTCTAGCCTGGTCACCGGTAGGCCTATTATGACAACATTAGGCCTAGTATTATATATTTGTGTAAAGTCTTATTAATTTTTCACGATTTTTAGTGCGTTATTTTATATTAAATTGATACATATTATTCAGCTAGGAAGATACATGTGATGGAGATACATGTCTCCATCACTTTCCATCTTCCTCTCCTCCCTCTATCTTACCCCCTAGGTCCCTTGCTCTGTCTCACGTCCTCCTGGGTCCCTCTTGTTGTTGTTATAGATTCAGCTACTCGGAACAAGTTCCAAGTAGCACGGGCTATGGTGAGCCCGTAGTGGACTTACCTGGCACTGGAGCGGTGCCCCGGCTGGGTCCCTCCCTTCCCTCTCTCTATATATATCCCCCCCCCTGGATCCCTCCCACTTATCTCCCTCAAGCGCCGCCCCTGTCACCCATCTCCTCCACCCCCCAACACCGCCCCCGCCACACTAGAAGGCCCTCCACCGCGGGATAATGTAATCTGGCGGGACACTAGCTCAGCTCGCGGGGGGGGGGGGGGGGTTACAGGGATTAACGACCCCATTAGAGAGATTGTTGTAATGAGGAAGAGGTCAGGAGGCACTCGCCCTCTTCTAGGTCATCGCCGTGGTATGTAGACCCGTATGAGACCAAATATATACCTGTATGATGTGTTATACATATCTATATGATGTGGTATACATACCAGTATGGTGTGGTATGCATACCTATATGACAGGCAAATTTGTCAGCCCTGCTACTTATGCCAGTGGAGTTGCTAAGCTCTTGCAGAGATGATTCCCCTCTAAGTGCTCTGGAGGGAACTAGAGGCCGAGGACCACTTGACAAAGGGGGAAGGGGGTGGGGGGGGTTCAGAGCACATCCTGGTTAAGAAATAAACAACCATTAATGCGATAAAAGGTGCTTGGAGATTCCAGCGAATTGCTTCCCGTCAGTAATGGCGGACAGGCGGGTGGGTGTAGCCCTCATGCGCCTTTGTCTTACCGGCAGAACCGCACCTGTGGACGCGAGGCCGGGCAGGCAGGTTGACCGCGAGCAAGAGACCTGGTGTAGGTGAGAGTGACGCCGCCCTCTTGACCACACCCACGGTCCTGCCAGCAGCCATGAGGAGCCTCGTCTTGATGGTGAGTCTTAGATCTTCTATTTGCAACGTTTAAATTCATTTTTTTTCCTGTTTTGTATTTTCTACAGTGTGACCATGTCTCTTCTGGGTTTATCGAGTCATGTAGAGCTTCATTGTCTTAGCTTCTCTTGTGTATTAAACAGCAAGTGTTGGACAGTTACTGTAGTTCAGTCGTTGTGTGTGTGCGTGTGCGTGTGTGTGCGCGTGTGCGTGTGTGTGCGTGCGTGAGGGTAGAGGACAGGGTCCAGTTTTTGCTCAGCCTCTGGTCACATAGTCAACAGGTGCTAATGCTGATATTACTCTGGGTGTGGCCTGGTGTAGGGTAGTGTAATGATCTCTCTGGTGTCATCTACACACTTCAGTGCTTATCTTGAGGTTATCTTGAGATGATTTCGGGGCTTTAGTGTCCCCGCGGCCCGGTCCTCGACCAGGCCTCCACCCCCAGGAAGCAGCCCGTGACAGCTGACTAACACCCAGGTACCTATTTTACTGCTTGGTAACAGGGGCATAAGGTGAAAGAAACTCTGCCCATTGTTTCTCGCCGGCGCCTGGGATCGAACCCAGGACCACAGGATCACAAGTCCAGCGTGCTGGCCGCTCGGCCGACCGGCTCCTGGGTACACCTCTACATGGTGCTGGTGAGTAGTGAGGTGTTATCCTTTCCTGTCCCCGTGTGTGTTGTGAGGCTAATGTGCTGTGTGTTGAGGTTGGAGCATGATTGGAAGTGTGTGTGTGACACTGGTGCCTTGAGTGGCATCTGTGTCACTTGTGCCACAGGTGGAGTGCCACTCTTCACCTGAGTGTTGAGTGAGAGGACTGTTTTATCAAAGTTATCTGCCGGCAAGTTGGCAGATACTACAGCAGGCAAGTAGACAGACAAGTCAGCAGACACGCCAGCAGACAAGCCAGCAGACAAGCCAGCAGACACGCCAGCAGACAAGCCAGCAGACACGCCAGCAGACAAGCCAGCAGACAAGCCAGCAGACAAGCCAGCAGACACGCCAGCAGACACGCCAGCAGACAAGCTAGCAGACACGCCAGCAGACACGCCAGCAGACAAGCCAGCAGACAAGCCAGCAGACACGCCAGCAGACACGCCAGCAGACACGCCAGCAGACACGCCAGCAGGCGGGCAATCCATCAGTGATAATACAAGGCAAGAAGCCCCATCGACCGTTCGTCTCCAGATGCCTTTCTGAGTGGAGAAAATGATGGTGATTGGAGATTGTAATCTTTGAAGTGGTTGTCCAGTATGTCTATATATAGAGAA